ACTTAGCAGCCAACACCCCTGGGAAGGGGGGGCGCCTGAGATTCACCAGCCCCTTGGGCCCTCAGGTCTCTGCAGCCCCTCTGTGCCCTGATGACCCGGTCACCTTCACCTGGCCAGGATGCATCGCCGCCTTAGGTTCCCACCTGCTGTGGCAGCACCTCTTGTGCTGCTCAACTCTGGCTTGTCTGGAATGTCTCCTTCACACCTCTCAACCTTCCAGAAACTGGCTAAATGGAGGCTTGCTTAGCAAGTGAATGTCTAAGCCCACTGAATCCCTAGAACCAGAAGCCAAGTTCTTTACAAATCTTTCATGGGTATTAGGTTGGTCTTTAAAAAGAATGTCATGAACCAGCCAAAAATGTGTGTATGGTGTTTAATCCCTGACAGGCCAGTTGAGAGGTATGTATGTCGGACAAGAGTTGCTGGTTCCCCGAGGCACTGCCTTGGCCCGCTGTTGTCAATTACACTGATGGGACCAGAGCCTCTACTCTCTGACCTGCCCGTGGTCTACTCATGGAGCTCAGGGTAGAGCCAGCGTAGCACTCAGCTCCCAAGAAGCTTGTGCCCAAAAGGCCTGACCCCAAATTGCTCTTCTCTCTAGTAGATGCTGACCCCTCCCCCGGAGACTCAGTGGAATTGACAAACATGTTGGCTTCCTCTTTTGTTCCTCAAAGCTCTTGGCTCCAACCTCTCTGCCTTCCCTTCCTGGGTCTCCCTGAATCCCTGGATCTCCCTCCTTAGTTTCTGTTTCTCAACACCCGCCTGCACGGATGGGCCTGGGGTCCGGGCTTCCATCCCTGCCTTTCGTGCAATGCTGCTTCCAATAAGCTCCCAGATCCAATACCCTTGGATGGAGCCTCCTGTCCAGGACTCACTGGCAGGACGTTTGCTTTGTACTTGCTTGCGCCATCAGTGTGAGACCCTCAGAAAGGGGCATCTCCACTCTTGAGTCGTTTTTGGTTTTTTTTAAGCTTGTTATGATTTCAAGGAACCTTTCCTGGGGTGTTTTTCATTTCCTGGTCTGCTCTTCCATTCGGGATGTCAACGCAGCCCCAAGATTTCTCCTGACATTCACCGTCTTGATTTCTCTTTCTCTCTCTCTCCCCACCCCACATCCCCATTCTTTTGATTTTATCTGGCCATAGAGAGCAGGGCTGAGGGAGGGCTCCGAGGAGAAAGTCAAACCACCACGTCCCCGGGCCCCAGAGAGTGACACAGGCGATGAGGACCAGGACCAGGAGAGGGACACGGTGTTCCTGAAGGACAACCACCTGGCCATTGAGCGCAAGTGCTCCAGCATCACGGTCAGCTCTACGTCCAGCCTGGAGGCTGAGGTGGACTTCACGGTCATTGGTGACTACCACGGCAGCGCCTTCGAAGACTTCTCCCGCAGCCTGCCTGAGCTCGACCGGGACAAAAGCGACTCAGACACTGAGGGCCTGGTGTTCTCCCGGGATCTTAACAAGGGGGCCACCAGCCAGGATGATGAGTCTGGGGGCATTGAGGACAGCCCGGATCGAGGGGCCTGCTCCACTCCGGATATGCCCCAGTTTGAGGTACAGTGGAGCTTCCTCAAGAGCCGGGCCCGCTGGGCACCGCATGCTCACAGGGCCCTGGACTACCTGTGAGAAGACCGAGCACCCAGCCTGCAGCCTGAAGCTCTGTCTCGTGTTGCATGACTGCCCCTCCGCAGAACAGCATGGTTCTGTGCTCGCATGTTTGCCATCTCGGTTTACCCCTAACACGCGCTCCTTGGCGTTTTAACCCTGTGACCCCATTGCTTGCTGAGGTCGAGCGATGACAGGTAGTCTGGTCTTACTTGACCCCCCCACCCCCACCTGTGTTGCATGGCACCTGCAGAGAGCATGCGTCTCTGGACTCTTGGGGGCTCCTGCAGCCTGGTCTGAAAGCTGAATGGTTTTTCCTGATCCAGGCCCAGGCTCATCTCTCTGGAGTCTGGGCTTCCCAGGGAAGGGGAAGCAGTTTAAATCCATCTGGCCCTGGGGTCTCAGGGTGGTAATGGAAGCTCCTGGAAGAGAGGAAATGTGGTCATTGAGGAGGGACAGACTGTCTCTGGGCCTCTCTGTGGTCTCCTCTGCAGAGCTGTGAAGGGATTTCTCTAAGGCACATCTGCCCATATCATTCCTTTGCCCCCTCATCTCTTTTAGACCCAGGCTCCCTCCTACATTCTCCTTTCCCCAACGTTCCCAGCATTGACATACAAGCTTAGCCACTCCGGGCTCTCACTTCATGCTATACTCTCTGAGCAGGTTTTTTTTCTCCCTTTCGGTGCCTTACAAACCTATCATATTCCAGGACCAAGTTCAAATGTCAGTTTCCCAGCAGGGGCTTGCTTTTCTGACCACCCTGGGCAGAAGTATTGCCCCCTTACCCCCTTGCCCTGTAATGCCTATGCTCCAGCACTATCCAAAGCGGTCAGGTCAGTGGCTAACGAGCCTGCTCTCCTACCAGGTGGCAGCTCCTCAAGGCCTGACATATACTAGGCACTAATAGATGATTAACTGGATGAATGGCTGGGTTACAGGGTTGCAACCATCTATAAGAATCCCCTTCAGCCAGGCATGGTGGCTTGTGCCTGTAATCCCAGCTACTCAGGAGCTGAGGCAAGAAGGCAGGGGGGGATCACTTGAGCCCAGGAGTTTGAGGCTACAGTGAGCTTTGATCATGCCACTGCACTCCAGCCTGGATGACAGAGTGAGACCTTGTCTCTTAAAAACAAAACAAAACAAGAAAAAAATAAAAAAAAACCGGCCAGGCATGATGGTTCACACCTGTAATCCCAGCACTTTGGGAGGCCAAGGCAGGTAGATCATCTGAGGTCAGGAGCTCGAGACCACCCTGACCAACATGATGAAACCTTGTCTCTACTAAAAATACAAAAATTAGCCAGGTGTGGTGGCACCCACCTGTAATCCCAGCTACTCGGGAGGCAGGAGAATCACTTGAACTCGGGAGGCAGAGGTTGCAGTGAGCTGAGATTGCGCCATTGCACTCCAGCCTGAGCAACAGAGCAAGACTCCATCTCAAAAAAAAAAAAAAATACAATCAGACGCTCAAAGGTCATAGTCACAGCTGGCCATACCCAAATGGACCCCTCTACTTCGCCCGTCCTCAACAAACGCTCTTCACTCGTTGACATCTCCTGCCTGGATGTTGCAGGCCTCCAAGGATATGTGGTTCTTGCTCTAAAGAAGAGTTCAGGCCGGGTGCGGTGGATCACACCTGTAATCCCAGCAGTCTGGGAGGCTGAGGCAGGTGGATCACTTGAGGTCAGGGGTTCAAGAATAGCCTGGCCAACATGGTGAAACCCTGTCTCTACTAAAAATAGAAAAGTTAGCTGGGTGTGGTGGCGTGGGCCTGTAGTGCCAGCTACCTGGGAAGCTGAGGCAGGAGAATCACTTGAACCTGGGAGGCAGAGGTTACAGTGAGCCGAGATCGCACCGTCGCACTCCAGCCTGGGCGACAAAGGGAGACTCTGTCTCAAAAAAAAAAAAAAGAATAGAAAAGAAAAAAAAGAGTTCGGCTGAAGCAGCTGAGAGGTGGTGAGCTCACCAGTGAAGTCATTCAGGATTCGTTGACATTATGTATACAAGCAAAACATTTAGCCTGGGGCCTGGCATATAGTATGTTAATAAAATGGTAGATGTTCTAATAGTAGCCTAAAAAACAACTTATAGCCACCATGAGGGTGTGTGGCACAGGGGCGCAGGGCAGGCCTACCTGGTCCTGGTGATGGTCCTGGTTCTCCTCGCAGGCTATTTGTCTATGATATCACACCACGTCTCTTTTACCCGGACCTGAGTACCCTTCCAGAAATGTGGCCAGCTGTGGGGATAGGAGATAGCCTGCAGACCCCACACTGCAATTGCCTGTGAGCAAGGGTCATGCTAGGGTTTCAGTTACAGAGCATTCTCCCTCCTTTTCCTACAGCCTGTGAAAACGGAAACCATGACTGTCAGCAGTCTGGCCATTAGAAAGAAGATTGAGCCGGAGGCCGTACTGCAGACCAGAGTCTCCGCTATGGATAACACCCAGGTAACCTGTGCCTTCCAATGTACCCTAAGCAACAGGTATTGGGCATTTGGTGGTAGGGTCCCCACTGCTGTGGCCAAAACCCTTGGCCAACCCTTTTAATCTCAGCTTCCCTGGAACCCACATTTTAATCCTGATGCTCTTCTGTGCCTCAGTGTCCTCCCTGAGCTCTGGGAAGGGGTGACGGGTAAAGTAGGTTCTTGTCCTGGGCAGACCATACCTCTTAAAGCCTCCATTTAGCCATCCATAAAATAGGAATGACCCTGTCTACCCCTTCCTCCTGGGCATATTGGGAGGACTGTACTGGCTAGTGGATTGGGACCTTGATGTTCACATTGCTTCAAGGAGTTGGAGAGGTTTCTTGAGGTATCCCAGGAGCTGCTTGGGGAGAGAAGAGGGAGAGATCCCAATTCAGCTTCAGTCAGAACAGCTCACCTTGGGTCGTTTTTTATGTATTAGAGTTCCACATCAGATCAGTAAAACGAGCAAAGTGAAAGAAGAAAACCAAAGATCACGTGTCTTGACAAGAAGCAGCACCCTGACCACCTGGAGAAAGCCATCAGGCATAGGCACAGGTCCACCACTTCCAGTCCATTCCCTGCACTCCTTCCGTGCTTTTTAGACTTAGGAAATTAAGATTGAGGGTCTGATAGATGCCCTCTTGGTTTTTCCTGGCCAGAAGAGCTACAATGCTAGGAGCTTTTTGGCTCTTAGGCTAACCTTTTTCTCAAGAACTGAAATAAGACCAGGCACAGTGGCTCACACCTGTAATCTCAGCACTTTGTGAGGCCGAGGCAGGCAGATTGCTTGAGCCCAGGAGTACAAGACCAGCTGGGGCAATATAGTGAGACCCCATCTCTACAAAAAATACAAAAATTAGCTGGGCGTGGTAGCACATGCCTATAGTCCCAGCTACTCGGGAGGCTGATGTAGGAGGATCACTTGAGCCCAGGAGGTCGAGGTTGCAGTGAACTATGAGCTAGGATTGCACCACTGCATTCCAGCTTGGGTGACAGGGGAAAAAAGAGAGACAAAGAGAAAACTGAAATAAGACATAAACCAATACAACATGGGCAATTCTTTTTGTTTCCAGAGTTTTTTTCTCCCACTTTTATAATGATAGTAGGAGTTTATGAGGCCGCCTACTACAGGTCAGGACTCTTGAGTTCTGGTGAGCTGTGTGACCTTGGGCAAGCTGCTTTCCCCCCTGACCTGTTTTGTTTTAGTAACACGTGTTTCTGTTGTGTTTTCCCACAGAAAAGTATAAAGAAACTAAAATTGGCCCTAGATCCCACAGCCCAGTAACCCTTATCGACATAAAAACAAAACAACAAAAAAAAGTTTATAGTTATACCATTCAAACAGAAAAATGGGATTTTTCTTATATTACCACCCAGAAAAATATATAAGCCTATTCCAACACAGATACCTACATCTCTATATACTTAACAATGTTTACACAGAAGCGATCATTTTCTTACACCTTACCTTTCTTCTTAGTAATTATTTTGGAGATCACTCCTTGTTGGCCTACATAGACCCACCTTACTCTTGTTCATCTCACTTAGGAGGCAAATCTTGATTTATTTCACTGTCTCCCAATGGCATGCCTTGTGGTTGTTTTTGTTTCGTGCAATTCATGATCAGCGCTGCCGTGAATTTCCTTGCTGGTACTTCTCGGCGAGCTTTTCAAAGGTTATATCCAAAGAGTCAGTTCCTAGAGATGGCTAGGTCAAAAATCACACTCATTGCAATTTGGATAGAATTTGCCAGATAGTCTGAAATTATTTTTTCTTTATCAGATACACTGGTTGAAATGTAATGAGGGCCTGTTGCACCTCTGTGATTTGGTCTGTGTGCAGCCCCCTGCCAGTGATGTTCACTCACACAGCCTGTCACTTTGTAACTGGGAGGCCGTGAGCCCAGGTGACAGATGCTGCAGGTGTATCCGGCTCTCCCCAGCTCTAACGACTCCTCCTCTGGTCAGCAGGTTGATGGGAGTGCCTCAGTGGGGAGGGAGTTCATAGCAACCACTCCCTCCATCACCACGGAGACCATATCGACCACCATGGTAAGTTGAACCCAGGAGGCTTCCCTCTCTGACCAGCCCCCTGCCCCGCCAAACAGCCAGCGGACAAGCTAACATCGCCTGGCTGATTCAGGAAGTTGTGAGCTGCCCTTGCTGTATCAGGCATGGGACATAAATCAGCCGTTTATTGTCTGGGGCTTTAGTTGCCACAAGACATAGAGACAGGCCTCAGTTTTCCAAAGTGAGTAATGTGGGTGGTGGAATCCCTGAGTGTCAGTTATCTAGACCATCTCAGCCGCGGCAGGGAGAGAGAGAGGATGGTCCTCTTTGGTTATTGGCACCCACGAATCTCATCTTGCATTGAGATTTCATTGGCTCATCTCACCTCCACTCTGAAGGTGAGGCTGGAGTCCTTCCTGTGGACCCATCCTGGTGGCTGCACATTGTCTCTTGTCTTAGACCACTTCCTTGCCTTGGTCAGTAGATGGCGTGCGGTGACCCTAAGTTGGAACAGGATTTTTGGGACCACTCCCCTCATTGAGGGACCTCATGGTTCTGCTACCTATTTGCTGTCTGACCCATGAAGGAAGACCCTTGGCCTCAGGTGTCCTCATCTGTAAAATGGCAGTAATCCCCATTCTGCAGTTCTTAAGAGACCCCGGCAATACTAGATCCTTTCATGATTAAACAGAACAGATAGCATTCGGCACACAGGTTGTGGTTCCAGGCAATGTGCTGAGACTCCTGAGTGGATCATCTCAGTGGATGCTCTTCCCTCCACAACCTTTACAGATGAGGAAACTGAAGTTCAGAGAGGTAAAGCGACTTACCCAAGGTCACACAATTAATAAGTGGTAGTGCCAGGTTATCCACAGGCGTTCTAACACCAGGAGCCCCACTTTCAACCCCAGCCACTCTGCTCTGCTCCCTTAATCCTGACCATTGTGAACATCGGCCACATGGGGCTGGGGCTGCAGTTGCGGCCGCTACTCGGGCTAGGAAAGGTAGCAGTGCTGGAGCCAGATCTATCTTGAGCCACTGAGAAGTTGTTTTCAAATGCTTTTTCTTGCCAACCCCCTGACATATACATAGGAAGGGAATTCCATCAATCTAGACTAGCCAGCAGGTAGGTTTTGAATACACAGAAATTTTAAGATCAATAAGTCCAAACTAGTTACCAGCTTGCATACCTTTCCCTGGTCACTCAGTTCCTCCTCTCCCCTCAGTCCTTCAGCACGTGTCATTGGGATGCTTGTAGGGCTAAATTTAAATCCACGCGTATGGTGAGCAGGCACTTATATCATTCATTTACTCATCCATCCATCCATCCATTCATTCATTTGTTCCAAAAACATTTATTAGTCTCTACTATCTGCCTGGTATGGGGGATACGGTTGAAGAAACTATACTGCCTGCTGGGATTCATTCATTCAAATGATCGTCATGAGCACCTTTAATGTGCTGTGCCCCTGTATTTAGGTTCTGGGCATACAGTGGAGAACAAGGCCCAGCTGTCCCACTTCCTGGCTGGATGACCTTGGGCAAGTCACCTGAACCTCTCCAAGCCTCAGTTTTCACTTCTGTAAAATGGGTGAGGGTAGAGGGCAGTAATAGCATGTGCTCAAAGGGCTGATGTGAGGGGGAACCAAAGCAATCTGTGCAAAGCCCCGAGAACAGTGCCTGGCACATAGTAAGTGGTCTGAAGATGTGAGCTGCAGTTACTTCTTTCCTGCCTTCATGGGATAGGGTAATAACACTCTCCTAGGGGCCACGAGGAAGGCAGCTATGGGGTGACAGCTCTGCCAGGAGGAGCCAGGAAAGGCTTTCTCTAGGCAGGGACATTTGAGTGAGCTATGCTTGAAGGATAAATTAAGGTACAGTCCCGGGGAAAGGCATTCTAGACAGTGGGAAAAGCAAGTGCAAAGGGCAGAAGGGAAGAAGCATAGCATTTGGGGAAGGGCCAGTGGTCAAGAAAGCCAGATGTCAAGCACATGGAGGAGGAGTCGGGGGTGAAGAGCTGGAAAGGAAGTCTAGACCAGAGCTTGATGGGCCTCAGATGTCATATACCAAATTCAAACTTCTGTCATGGGGGAATCACTTAAATTTTTTACATTAGGGACATGATGTCATCAGATACGTGTTTCTCTGTTTTAGAAAGATTATTCTAGCAACCTCTGTGGATGAGGGACTTGAGCAAAAAATTCTTCCCTCCTTCTCTCTCTCTCCTTCCTTCCACAAGTGTTGATTGAACACCCATGATGTGTACAGTTCTGTACCAGCCACTGTGAATCCAGCTAAAGAAGGGAACATCCCTGAGATCTGGGGCCCACATGCCACTGGGAGAGACAGAGAGAGAAGGCAGGGAACCAGCTTAGACGTTGGTGCCCAGGCTGGGTTGGGGCTGGAGTGCAAGGAGGTGGATGCAGAGAAGGGGTCAGAGTTAAGGGATGCCTGGGGGGAGGAAAGCCCAGGATTTGGTCGTTGGTAGGATGTTCAGGGGACAAGAGGAAAGATGAGCTCGTGACACTGTTCACTAACCAGTGGTTCTCAAAATGTGGTTCCAGGAACCTGTTAGCAAGGCAGGTCCTTTGGGCTCCTCCTTAGACCTATTGACTCAGAAACTCTAGGGTGGGGCCCAGCAGTGTGTGTTTTTCCAAGCCCTCCAGCTGATTCCTCTGCTGATATAAACAGAGCACTGGGGGAAAGTGCTCTTTAGTGACAAGCATGTGTTGGAAGTGGAAGAAGCAGTGAATTCCGTTCGAGATCGGATGAATCTGAGGTGCCTGTGGAACATTTCCAGGGGAAAATGTCTAGGACACAACCGGTTTTAAAGGCCTAGGGTCCAAGAAAGATCTGGGCTACAGGTGAAGGGATAGGGGACTTTGACCTCCATGAGGCAGCAGAAGCTGTTGAGTGGCCGAGGTGGCCCAGAGAGCGGGTGGCAAGTGAGGAGAGCCTGAATGTGGAGGAAGAGAGGGCTGAGTTTGCCTTGGTCAGGGAGAGAAACTGCTCCTCCTAGAGGCAGGTGATGGGACTGGCCAAGGATACAGGAGAGGAAAGGAGGAGCAGAGGGTGCCTTGTTTTGAATGACTGAAGTCCCTAGTGGTAGCCTCTGTTTTCAGTGTGAAGGTGGAGGTGAGGCTTTGCCCTGGGAAAGACAGAACAATGAGAGAATAAGAGGCTTTAAGGAAGAACTTCCCAGAATGATGCTAGGATTCAGAGGGGTTAGTGTCTGTTAAGGGGAAAGGAAGCATTGAGCCCGGAAGCTGCCCTTGGAAAGCCTGCTGCTGGGCCACATTCTGGAACTGCAGGTGCATCTGGGAACGTGCCTTGTGGTACAGTACCAAAGAACCAGGCTGCTGGCAGCCTCAGCTGGATACAGGTGTGGGAGCGGCAGGGGAAAGTCAGTGAGTTTCTGTTCTCACCTGCCCCTTGGTAGGCAGAAGTCCAGATCTAGTGCCATGCCCGGACCAGAACAAGAGGTCAGGCCACTGAGGACCTGCAGAATGGACACAGTTCTGGGTCTCTGGACAGATAAGGCTGAGCCCTGAGATGGTGCAGAAAGTAGGAGGTAGAAGCAGGCAGCTGGGCCCTGGCCAGATCAGGGGCAGTAAGTCCGGGGACAATTCCAGGAAGATCTAGCAGTTAGAATTTAAGGTAGGGCCACGAGGGCTGTTTGAAGGGAAAGATTCCCAAGGGCAGAGTGGCGTGCAGAGTGTGTCAGACTTGGAGTCAGACAACATGGAGTTAAGTTCCAGCTCTACCACTAGCTTGCTGGGGGACTGAACACTTAAGTTTCTCTCACCCTCCAGTTTCTCATCTGCAAATCAGGAATATTAAAAATAATGCCTTACCGGTGTTATGAGAATTAAATGAGATAAGGCATGTAACATCCTTAAAACGATGCCTAGCACATAGCAAGCACTCAGAAAGTCATTATTATTATTATATTCTAAATAGCCAGCTTATGCCCCTATATTTATCCTATGTATTCTGGTTTGCAAACCTTTTCTACTCCATTGGCTTCATAGGTTCTCTGTGGGATTGGGGCAAGGGTCCCTTTTTACAGATGAATCTGCAAGGCCCATAGAGAGGAAGTGGCTCTGCCCCAAGTCACATGGCTCGAAGGTGGCAGAGCAGGACACGAACCTGAATCTGGCAACTCCTCTGCTAGTGCTTCTGGAGAACAATGCCATGTCTTGAGCACTACAGTGTTCCTAACGCCAGACAGTCTGTAAATGTTGGTTGAATGAGTGACTGTGCAAGTGTGCGAGTGAACGAGTGTGTGCCTGAGTGAGCAAGGGATGAATGAGAGGAGGCAGAACTGAACGATGCCTTCAGTCCTTTGCTTCTACTGTTTCTACTCAACCTTGTGGTCGTGATAGCTACGTGGCCACATGCTCCGGCCATCCTGGGGGCCCACCCGGCTGAGAGCTGGCCATCTGAGCACTATTGTTTCCCCAGGAGAACAGTCTCAAGTCCGGGAAGGGGGCAGCTGCCATGATCCCAGGCCCACAGACGGTGGCCACGGAAATCCGTTCTCTTTCTCCGGTAAGTGGGCAAGGCCAGCTCAGGCTAGGGGACTCCACACTGAGAATATGGGCATAGACCCATGTATGGCTGGCAGGAAGTGCAGTGTTGAGCCCAGAAGGCACCCTTCTAGGTGCAGAACCAGGAAACTGGACCCTTTTCAGTTGCCAACAGAGCTCCCTGGTACCTGCTAGAATCTCATGAGTGGCCCTCTCCCCTCCGCCCACACATGTAAGTGGGGCATTGGTGGCGTGTGAGGGTGAAGCGGCCCCTCACCTTGGTGGTGCCGCTGATGGTTCTTTTGCATCTGCCCTCCCTACTAACCAGGAAGAGCAATGGACTAGGAGGCCAGAGGCTTGAATTCTGGACCTGCCTCTGTTGGTGCCTGCCCGGTGACCCTGAGTCTGTCCCTGTAGGGTCTCTTTCAGCTCTTGCATTCTCCAAGTCTGTGGTTCTCATTGTTTAGCTCCGTAGAGAGCGTGCACCTGGCTATGACAGATTGGGGCGTCAGGAGGGCTGTGTTTCCACCTTGGATCCCTTTGGTCATTCTTCCATGATGCCAGGATTCTTAAATTATAGGGTATTGTTAGGATTCTGGGCCTCAGGAATCTCAGCGTCTAGGAATCTCAGATTCCAGGGTTTGAGAATTTGTTGGGTCTAGGTTTCTGAAGATTCCAGTATTCTTGAAATCTTAATGGCTCAAAGCATCTTGGCTTCGAAGTGTCACCTTCACGGGGCCCTTTACCCCACCCCGCCCCCACCCCTCCAGAGCCCAGTGTCCTTACCTGACACCCTGGGTGGGGGGTGGTTATATTCTGCAGATCATCGGGAAAGATGTCCTCACCAGCACCTACGGCGCCACTGCGGAAACCCTCTCAACCTCCACCACCACCCATGTCACCAAAGTGAGTAGCAGCAGGGTGCCCCATGCCCCCAGCCGAGCTGCAGGCGAGAAGGTCATAACCGTTGTTCAGCTTTGGCTTCGCCATCTGTAAAGTGGGCAGAGAAAACCTGTAGTGTTTACCAGTTTCTGGAATACTGTGCGCTTTGTCCTGTGCCACATGTTGTTCTAGGCACGGGCCCTTCCCACACGGTGTTGACAGCCAGGCTAGAGGGAACAATACTCTCCTCTTTCAAGTAACTGTGAACCATGGCGTGTGCACCTTGTAGATGGAAAATGCTGGAGGAATCTAGATGGGGTGACATATGAGAGGCCCTGCAAGAATCAGGAAACATCTCCTAGAAGAAGTAGGGACTGAGTAGAGTCTTGGAAAGCCAGGCAGGACACCTGAGGGAGGAGAAGACAGATGCAGGTGTTCTAAGCAAAGCAGAAGAGGGAAGCAGAAATTGTGTGTTTGCTTATTTGTTTGTTTGTTTGTTGAGCAGATGTTAGTGAGTGTCAACTTTATTTGTGTTGGCCTCTGTGCCAGGGGCTGCTGGATGTAGCCATAAGTGAGGCCTGTTTACGGGACATGAGAATCACATGTAGGGGGTGTATCTGGGAAATTAGGTTGTACTGGGGACAGGGAGGTGGAATATAGAGCAAATAACAAATACCAGGACACATTTGACTCTGGAGGATCTGGGCCTCAGGGAGATTGGAAAGCCATGAAGATTTTTAGATTGGAGAGTAACCCATTGAAAATAGGTTTAAGGAGAGAATATCAGATCCACCAGGATGTATAGATAGGTGGGAGAAAGAAGAGGGAGAAGTATGGAGAGAGACGAATAGTAAATAACTCAGGCCTGATAGGGAGGGCCTGGACCAGGGTGTGAGTCGGAGCCCAGGCGGGAAGAGGTAGGGACAAAGGAGGGAAGCCTTCCTGGGTGACCCAGCAATAAGGACAAGGGCTAGTTGGGAGGCAGGCGGGCTGATGTGTCCATACCTATGTGGCCAGGAGGAAGGCAGGAGGGCGCCTAGCCAGGGCTGGAGGCCTGGAGCAGCCAGGTTGATGAGCCATCAGAGGAGAACTCTGGTCAGTTGCACCAGGCCTTCATGCACAGACTGTCCTGGCCTCTGCCTGCGCCTCTGCAGGATTCAGCACTTTCTCACATACCCCACAGAGAACCCACTCTCAATAAAAACATTACTCAGCAATGTTGACTTCTCTGAAAGCTTTATGGGAGGTTTTACATCCCACGCCCACAGCAGACAGTTCAGGAAACTCTTCTTCCCAAAGTCCCTGCCAACTGGGAGCCCCCTCTTCTTTCTATCCACTCCTGACTCCAGCTGGGATTCCCCACAGACACCACCCTGCTTTAACATGCCAAACAATTAGGTCCCGCCTCAGCTATTACTTCGAAACTTGTCCAAATCCTGTGCCTTCAGAAAACAGCAGAGGTCATAAGTATCATCAATCTAATTTTCTCTTGTAGTATTGTTGGAAGTCGTTCAAGGCAGAACCTTGTCACCATTCACATTTCATTCATGTGTTCATTCAACAAATCTGCATTCAGCACTGCCCTGGTTAGACTGGGTGAGGGAGTGGGAGAGGAGGGGATACAGAGATGAACAAAATACAGACCCTGCCTTCAAGAACTGGCAGCCTGGTGAGGTGAACATGGCCACAGACACACATATGGTCGGCACCAGGCAGAGAGGTCCAGAACTGTGAGAGAGACAGACTCAGTACTCAGGGAGTACCAAGGCAGGAAGGCAGAAGCATTGCCAACCAGTGTCTGAGAGGCAGCATTGGAGCTGGGCTTGGAAGACCTAGATGGGGTGGTTTGGTATTTTTGGGGAGTGGTGGCAACCAGACAAGATCTGCAGTTCAAAGTCCAAAACCAGAAAAGAAAAAATCTGAGGAAGTCAGGAGAGAAGGTAACTGCTGGTTCTCAACCCTGCCCTTGACAGATGATTTGGGTAGGTCCCCTCTTGAGGCTGCTGCCCCAACAGGACCCAAGAGTGACCTCACCTCCCTCTCCCTCTGCAGACTGTGAAAGGAGGGTTTTCTGAGACGAGGATCGAGAAGCGAATCATCATTACTGGGGATGAAGATGTCGATCAAGACCAGGTATGGGGGTAGGGACCGTTCTTCCCAGTGCCACTGCCCAGTCCTCAATCCCTCCTATGTCGGGTTACCCATGGATGGCTACGCTCATGGGCAGAGAAGGTGTCCACTTCTTGCTGACCCTGTTCAGATAAGAAACCCCCAAGGAAGGGGCATTGGATGGGAGCCAGAAGGAGCCAGAAGAGCCGAGCTCTAGTCTGTCCCTTTAATTGTTTGACTTTGCCCCTCCCTGGGCCTCAGTTTCTCCAGCTGTGCACTAGAGGGCTTGCTGTTCTTCACAGTCTGTCTCATCTTGGATATTTCATGGTTCCTTCCTTTGCTGTTCTTTACCACCAGGCTCTGGCTTTGGCCATCAAGGAGGCCAAACTGCAGCATCCTGATATGCTGGTAACCAAAGCTGTCGTATACAGAGAAACAGACCCATCCCCGGAGGAGAGGGACAGGAAGCCACAGGTAAGGCTCCTGAGGCCCAGCAACCATGAGAGAGAGGAGGGATCAGTAGCAAGATCCTCTGAGGGCCATTTCCATCTGAGAACCCAATGGCTTGACCCCTAGTGCAACTTTGACCCGCCCCCCCATCAGCCTTCCTGATTTGCTGATTTGGGCACCTCCCCGAGAGACAAGTCCGTGGGGAGAGGAAGGAAGCCTGGTTCCTTGGCTTCTTTGGGGTTTCAGGCTCCAGATCCAGAAAAATAAATCCAGAAGTGGTTAAAAATGTTTTTAAAGGGAGGGAAATGGAGAGAGGAATGACAGTGGATATTGAGGTGGGACAAATGAAGGCCCTCATTATCTCCTTGGGCATTGCCTATAAACCAGAAGTCAGAAAAAGTCCTACTAGGCCCAGTGCCACATTCCTGGCCCTGAGTCTCTCTCTCTATTACAAGTCACTGAATGTTGTTAAGGGGACATGATGACCAGAGCCCTTGATCTCTTCTGTCTTGCTTGATTGCAATTTCTTTTTTCTTTTTGAGATGGAGTCTCTGTTGCACAGGCTGGAGTGCAGTGGTGCAATCTTGACTCACTGCAACCTCCGGCTCCTGGGTTTAAGTGATTCTCCTGCCTCAGCCTTCCGAGTAAATGGGACTACACGTGTGCGCCACCTCACCTGGCTAATTTTTACATTTTTAGTACAGATGGGGTTTCACCTTGTTGGCCAGGCTGGTATCAAACTCCTGTCCTCAAGTGATCCACCTGCCTCAGCCTCCCAAAGTGCTGGGCTTACAGGTGTGAGCCACCACACCTGGCATGATTGCATCTTGACTTCTGAGACCTGCAGGGGCCAAAATCTTAGGGAACCTATATTCTCCTGTTTAATTGTAGGCCATCAGTGCTTTGGTGAATAAGATAAATAAGATGATGTTGGGGCAGATAGGGCTTTTAGCAGCCTGAATTAGGGGAGGGGTTCTTCTGGGCCCTCTGGAAATTTACCAGATCTTATCAGATCTATAAAACAAAATCCCATAGACATTGAGTTGGATAAAATAAGGCAGGCACAGGAAGTATAAACTGTATGATTCCATTCATAGGGAGTCCAAAAGCAAACAAAACTAATCTACAATGTTGAAAATCAGAATATTTCTGATTTTCTATCTGAGAAAAATATCCTTCTGATTTTTCTGTTACTTCTGGGATGCAGTATTCACAAGGAAGAGGGAAGGGCCACAAAGGAATCTTCTAGGGTGCTGGAAATGTCACTATTTTCAACTGGGTAGGTTACATGGGTGTATAGATATAAACACATTTATAAAATTCTTCTCACACTTAGAGTTGTGCACCTCACACATTTCACGGGTTCTACCACAATGAAAAAAAAATCCATCTCAAAGACCCCACAAATATAACCGCTGGTCTCCTTTTTGCCCTCTTCCTTGAATGAATGAAACCAGTCTTTTCTAGAAAGATACAAGAATGTTTCTTTTCCTTTGATTACCAGACCCCTTAATGTCAGAAGAAGAAGCACTGAAACATTTTTCTGCTGCTTTGAAAGGCTGCTAACCTCTGGTCTGGACTAGGGCTGTTCAACAGAACTCTCTGCAGTGATGGAAGTGTTCTTTCTGTGCTGTCTGGGATGGTAGTCGCTAGCTGCACGTGGCCACCGAGGACTTGAAATTGGCTAGTCTAAAAAACATGTGCTTTAAGGGTGAAATACGTGCAGGATTTTGAAGATTTAATATGAAAAAAAGAATATAAATGATCCCAATAATTTTTACATTGGTTACATATTTAAATGATAAAGGATACATCAGGATAGGTAAAATGTACTATTAAAATTAATTTCACCTGACCAGGCATGGTGGCTCACACCTGTAATCCCAGCACTTTAGGAGGCTGAGGCAGGTGGATCACTTGAGGTCAGGAGTTTGAGATCAGCCTGACCAACATGGTGAAACCCTGTCTCTACTAAAATACAAAATGAGGAGTGGGGGTTCGTGGGTGCCTGTAGTCCCAGCTACTAGGGAGGCTGCGGCAGGAGAAATGCTTGAACCCGGGAGGTGGAGGTTGCAGTGAGCCAAGATGGCACCATTGCACTCCAGCCTGGGCAACAGAGTGAGACTCCATCTCAAAAATAAAAATAAAATAAAATTAATTTCACCTGTTTCTTTTTAAATCGTTTTGAATGTAAACTAAAATTGAGAACTTTGATTGTGAAATTAAAATTTTCCATTTATCTAGAAATTTTTAGAAAGACAGAAATATATAGAAAATTTCAGAAATGTTATCTAGAAAATCTATTATCTAGGAAAAAAAATTATTTTTTTTTTGAGATGGAGTCTCACCAAAAAAATTATTATTATTATTATTATTTTTTTTTTTTTTTTTTTTGAGACAGAGTCTCGCTCTGTCGCCCGGGCTGGAGTGCAGTGGCCGGATCTCAGCTCACTGCAAGCTCCGCCTCCTGGGTTCACGCCATTCTCCTGCCTCAGCCTCCCGAGTAGCTGGGACTACAGGCGCCCATCACCGCGCCTGGCTAATTTTTTGTATTTTTTAGTAGAGACGGGGTTTCACCGTGTTAACCAGGATGGTCTCGATCTCCTGACCTCGTGATCCGCCCGTCTCGGCCTCCCAAAGTGCTGGGATTACAGGCTTGAGCCACCGCGCCCGGCCAAAAATTATTATTTTTTTTGAGATGGAGTCTCACTCTGTCACCCAGGCTGGAGTGTGGTGGCACAATCTTGGCTCACTCCAGCCTCCACCTCCCAGATTCAAGTGATTTTTGTGCCTCAGCCTCCCAAGTAGCTGGGAATACAGGCATGTGCTACCACACCCAACTAATTTTTGTATTGTTATTAGAGACGGGGTTTCACCATGTTTGCCAGGCTGGTCTCGAACTCCTGACCTCAAGTGATCTGCCTGACTCGGCCTCCCAAAGTGCTGGGATTACAGGTGTGAGCCACTGCACCCGGGCCTATCTAGGAAAATTTTAAATTTCATATGTAGTCCACATTCTATTTCTACTGGACAGCACTGGTCTAGAAGTGTAGGTTGGCCATGGGTGCAGCCTACCTCCCAGCCTTCCTCAGACTTTACAAGTGATTGCCATTCCTATCCCCTCAGTTTTTCAATCATTCTTCCTTTATTCCTCCCAAATCTCAGAGTGGTAGAGTGTAGGCCACTTGCTAAGCTGGGTGTATCACCTGGGGAAGCCTGTTTAAAATACAGGCACTAGAGAACCCTCTCCATAAACTCTGATTTAGAAAGACTGGACTGGGACCTGGGATCTGCATTGCCTGGGAATCTTCATTTCTACCTTGGTCCTTAGGGAGTCCCCATGCAGCCAGGTATAGGAGCCACTGATGCAAAGAACTCTGTACTGGGAATCCAGGGACCTGGCTCTAAAGCTATTCCACTGACTGGTGTGTGACAGTAGGTCCGTTTCTTCCCGAGTCCCAATGAGGGATTCGGTTTCCTCATTTGCAAAATGAAGAGGTGGAGCGAGCCCCCTTCCAATTATAGTCCTCTGGCTATTTGCTTTCCTGGGGGTATCTGTTGTGTGTTTCTCATCTCTTCTCCATTCCCTCTTTCACGCCTCCTCATCTTCCCCAGGGCATTCAGAAACAGGCCCCCAGGCTCCTGCCTTCCCATTTCCCTAGCCATTCAGAGCTCTCACCCTGGCCTCCACATCCTGCCCCCCCCCGCCCCCGCCTCAATGCAGTCTTTCATATCTGCCCACCTCGCTGCTCCCTTTGCTGTCTCATTCTCTCCTCCTCGCCTCTGTTTAGTTCTTTCTTTGCTGCCATTGCCCCACGCACCACCATGCACCATCTCTCTCTCTCTTCTGGGTTGTTCTGTAAAGGTCACCTTGTTTATGTTGCCCTGGCAAGCCAGAAGTTTCTCTCCCTTGCCTTTTCTGCCCAACATGCTTTACCAGTAGTTATGGTCAAGTAGAACCCACATCTGACTCTTAATACAGTCAGACTCATTAATTCTGGAAGAGGTCTCCTCTGAATTTGAAAACTCCTTTTTAAAGTGCTTGGAAACATTGGCTTAATGGATGGATGCCTCTTGGTACCCCAAGGAAGAGCTCTGCACTCCTGCAGAGTCTCAAGCCCTGCCCTTTATTAGCTGTGTGACCTTTCAGCAAATCATTTAAACTTTTCAGCCTATGTTTCTTTGTCAGCCAAATGGCAGTGATCATCACAGTAATAACAATCGCTATAATTTATGGAAAGCTTATGCTGTGCCAGGCACCAGGCCGTGCATTCAACACAAGTACTGTTACCTGCTCATTCATTTTACAAATGAGGAAACTGAGGCTCAGAGATGTTAAGTGGCTTGCTCACAGTCATGAAGCTGTGAACATGATGGATTGATTAGAGAGTGAAACCCAATCTGTTAGATTCCAAAACCCAATGGTCTTGACCTCACCACACTCACTTTTCATAACATCTGTCTCCTAAGGCTACCAAGATCATCCATGCAGCATGGTAGTTAGCACAGTGCCTGGCACATAGTGAGTGCTTAATAAAAGTTCATTATGACTACTATTACTATTAACTTGAAGTAGGCTAACAAAATGCTGCACGCAGGGACTGTGCTGTGCTGTAATAAACCAAAAAGAATAAATCATAACACTGTTGTTTAGATGTCTTTGGTACTTCTGAAGTGTCTATGGGCTTATGAAGATATCCCACATACCCAGAATAATGATTACACTGACTTATAGGACAGCCACTTCATTAATTGATGCACAAACTTAAAGTGCAGCCTGTTACTGTAAGGAAAAACAAAACAAAAACCAATGCCTGGTTAGGATGTAGCAAAATTGAGTAGAAAGAATACTACTCAATTTTGACCAGGGGCCAGGCGCAGCAGGTCACACTTGGAATCCCAGCACTTTGGGAGGCTGAGGCAGGAAGATTTCTTAAGCCCAGGGGTTCAAGACCAGCCTGGCCATCATAATGAGACCTTGGTTTCTAGAAAAAGTTTAAAAGATTAACTGGGTGTGGTGGCTGGCACCTGTAGTTCCAGCTACTTGGGAAGTTGAAGCAGGAGGATTGCTTGAGTCCAGGAGGTCGAGGCTGCAATGAGCTATGATTGTGCCACTGCACTCCAGCCTGGCAGTAAAGCAAGACCCTGTTTAAAAAAAAAAAAAAAAAAAAAAGAAGGAAGGAATAGATGGATACACCTAGGTTTTGGAGCTAGAAACACCTTGGTGGCTGTGTGTCCAGAGGAACCTCTCTGACCTCAGTTTCCTCACCTACAAAATGTCATTAATGTAGAAATTGGAGTTGCTGTAATAACTAAACAACACCTGTGATATACTGGATCTGTGTCTTGCCTACAGAAGGGGCTCAGCAAAGGGAACCTGTTTCCTTGTCCCTCTGAGGTTTCTCCATGTTTAGAGGTTGATGAGAGCACTGAGAAAGTCAGACCATAATTGTCTACCACCAGCCTGGTGCCTGAAGCCCTGTCTCCATGAGGGTGTTTATCTTGCTGGTCTTACTCTTCTCTTCTCTCCCCAAATCCTCCAGAAACATCTGTCTGTCTCTGCTTCAGTTGACTCTTTGTCTTCCTTCT